TGGGGGTGTGGGGGGGGGGGGCTTATTATAAAAATTAAAAAGGGGTTCCAGATTCCACTATAAATATCTCCCGATATTACATATGACATTACTCCAATGTCCTTCCTGGAACATCAGAATGTTCAAAGGCATGTTGCCTGTTCTAGTACAGGAAGGGGCGCAGCATGCTTATTGCCCTGTTTTTTCTGGCACCGAGGCTGCATGGCTGGATAAGGATCTGGGTGAGGGTATTTTCTTATTTAAAGGACTACACTAGACTGTTTTATAACACCAAGTGCAGCTTTAAAGTATCCTCCAAACTTGTTATTTAAAGGATATAAGCTGCATGAAAAAGACCCACTCCCCAATTATTATATATTTTTTTGCATTGGCACATGTCCTTCATGGCTGTGTTCTATTTCCCATGTCCATAATAGTTTGCTTATTAGCCTTGAAAATTGTGACACAAAATAACAGGATTTGCATCCCATAGACTTCACTGGGGTTTGACACTAAGTTTGGGATTCACTTCATACTGGATTCGCCAAACTACTACTGAGGTGTAATTCCAAGTGACTCTAAAAATTAGGCAGAGCATGGCTACCAGCAGAAATCTGGGAATATCACTTGCTTGATTGCTAGAAATCTCCTAAATCTCTGTAGAACTTCAGTGGTAAGGTATTCTTTTAAAGTTTCCTGTTCCATCTAACTGCTATGGAAAATTCATATGATGTCACCCATGCCGTTCGGAAGCATCAAAAGCCCAGGCTGAAGTACAATTTTGTTTTTTTTGGGTGAATTGTTTGTTACAAATTACTTTTTAACATTATTTGTGTTAGGAGGGCAGAGAGCTGGCAAACAAGTGGACATCCTGTTTGCCATGTCTGCTATAAAATAACCCTAATGACACTAAAGTTAAGTCCAGTTAAATTAATTGTACATTGTTTTAATTTAAATCTTTTATTCATAGTTGCTATTTGCTGTCAGATCACATTTCATATTAGACAGCAAGCAATTAAGTTCTTGAGTCTAAATTGCAGATGATTTAAATAATTGCTTCTCCAGGTAGCAATCATTTGGTACAACTGCCATAATTATAGAACCCATCTCAGGCTGATTGAAATCCATTCAATGTGTATTAAAAAATGTTAACGGCTAATCAGAATAAAGTAATTTGGAAACTAACAACTTTTTGACGTGTAAACAAGATAGGTACATATCAAGGTTACTGGATATCATGACTTATGTCATTGCTAAAATGGTATCAATGTTCCATTTAGTTTTTATTAATCGTGTTAAAAAGATGTTGCTAATAAGAAATGGTCGCCTTAGATGCAGATCGTATGGCGTCCTTCCGAGACCTATGGTTGCTCTGGATTTAATCAAAAAGATGTTGCTAATATTGGATAATTAGTATGTATTTACTCTACTATTAAAGTAAAAAAATAAGCCAAAACCTTTCTTTGTTTCATCTTGGATAGAGTAATGGAGGGCTATAACACCCTCTCAGTTTCTTTTTTGGCAATTGTGTCCCACTAGGGAGATTTCCCTTCACTGCCTGTCCTATAGTAACAAGAGGAAGTGAGGGAAATCTGATTGCTCCCATTGGAAGCTATTCCTATCCTGATGATGACTCAAGAGAATGATTCTCTTAATGCATGCAGACAGCAGTAAAAGCCGGAGAGTTCTTATCCCTGTCCAATCTGTCTAAAACTAACAAAAAAAGTGTTGGCTTTTGTTCTACTTTATTATACCTAATGAAACAAAAATCAATGTTTGCTAAGAAAAATATAGACAAAACAATTGTAACACCTTTCATTTTATTTAAAGACCAAAATCAATCTAAAAACCAAAACACATTCAAAAAGAATAACATATTAAAGTATACAACAGAACATATAAAGTATCTACAATCCAAGTTTTCTACATAGATGAGTACAATGGCAGAAACGGAACAAAGAGTAAAAAAACATTCAAAAAAAGGAAAATTACATTTTGTAGCGACCGACCTCAATAGAAAAAAAAAGGCTGCTGCCAAAAGAAGCCATGACAAGGACATCTACGTTTAAGGGCCTGGACCCCGAAGGCCGCAGTAACTCTAGAATCCTGAGACCTCCAGGCGGAGGCTCCAGCTTCTCCTTTGGTGTTGGCGAATCACAGCAGCAGCAACTTCTTAGAAGACATATGATGACCTCCAACATATTTGGCATACCAGATGATGAACCAACTCCTGCATCTTATGCTTCAGAAACAGACATCCCACACAGTTCAGCTTGTGGAAACCCAGAAGATTTACAGAAAACGTGTAATCAGGAAGAGTGTGGAGAAGCTGCTGATCACATGGGTGAAGCAGAAATACCAGAAACAGAGTCTAGAAAAGATGGCTCTCAAGCTGCTAAGAAAGCGTACAACCGGCTGCCCCTGTAGCAGTAGCCAGTAGGTGAAACCCTCCAGGAGGAAAGTCAAGTCTGGTCCTGGGCTAAAACTCTAAACTGCTCTAGCATTTTCTCCCATTTGACTGTACATGTTTCTTTGTTTTAAACACTTTGTCCCAACCCTCTAGTTGTTGTGTTCTTGGATCTACTGGAAACGGCATGAATGGTTTTCTATTTTCCATGTTTGCACTCTTTTTTTTGTTTAACATAATAAAGAACATTTAACGGTTAAAAAAAAAGGCCCCTCTCCAATGAGGATATAATTATCGGGGGGTCATTTGAGATCATCCTCCTAGTATACCACAAAGTCAAGATGAAAGATTGCATACGTTTTGATTTTGTAATAGTCGGTAAGGAATTAATAAAGCATTCCCATACATCAAAAAATTGTTGACATTGTGTCCATGCTAAGCATTGTCTAGGTCCAATCATTTTGAAATGCAAACATCAACTCTCTCAGAAAAAGAGTTAGAGAGAGTGATTCAGGATGTATCCATTGATGCAGAAATGTTTTCATTCCTCACCAAGGATATAAAAGATAATAGCTTTCTACATTCAAAGGTGATTTTAACTCCATGCAAGTCTAAGATACCAAAAATCGCCCAAGCTGCAGATAGAGGTAGATAATAATTCAACAAATTTTGCTGAGCATACTGGGCAATATCGTGCCAAAAGAACTTTATCTTAGGGCAACTCCAAAAAGCATAGTATAAATCTGCTGCTTCCTGTCCACATTTCTGACATCCAGAGACGCTACTAAGACCTATAAGATAAGACCTATGTGAAGAGATATAAGCTCCATGATAGACTCTTAATACCATTTCTTTGTAGCTGGATGCAGTGGTTGTATTCCATGCTTTATTAAGAGCTTGGAGAATCTCAGTAGTGGATACAGTAGAGAAATAAGTAGTCCACTTAGGGAGACCAGTAGATTATTTTGCATAATCCATATCTAGTCTTGTCAGGTATTAGAACCAGATTATTTATAAATAATTCATGCATCCACCCACTTTTATAAAAAGTAGGAAAATATTTATGAATGATAAAATATAATATTAATCCAGAGATAGTGAGCTTGTTTCTATCTGGGTTGAACAAAGACCGCAAAATAACTTTGGAAAATAATCTGAAATGTAGAATATAGCTGAAAGCAGCAATAAAGGTAGCCAAGCATTAGAGCCTGGTTATAACACATGTGAAGATATTGCAGTTAAAGAGATAAAAAGCAGGACATTTCAGGATTTCATGATTTATAAACTTTTCCAAATTAAAAATGGCCGCCGACCTTGGTGACATTTGGAACACATATTGATTTGGGAATTATGATTTTGAGTTATCATATGTTTAACCACTTCAAGACCAGGTGTTTAGACCTCCTTCCTGGCCAGGCCATTTTTCAGTATTCAGCGCTGCGGTACTTTGACTGTGAGGGGACCGGAGGGAGCCCGTGTACCGAGCTCCCTCTGATCCCCTGTGACCCAGGCGACATGCTGATCCCGGGCTCGCACCGGGCACAGCGGAGCCCGGTATCAGCGGGGGGGACCGCGGAGGGGGGGAACCGATCAGCACACCATACACGCGATCCGCTGGCTCTACAGCCGGCGGATTGCTTGTATGGTAACAAGCATCGCTGCCTGTTTTTAAATACAGGCCATTTCCCGGTGACGAGGTGACGTGTCTGAGCGGACGTCTAAAGACCTCTCGGTCGGCCTTTTTTTTACAACGGCCGGCCCTGAGGTGGTTAACAAGTTTAACATACTGCAATAGTAATATAAATGCTCATTTATGCAATTAGCTGCAATGTTAAAACTGATTGGCATGTGGTGACCATATTGATTTTGGGATTGGACCTGTTTTTACAATTATGGTAGAAGAGGTAGCCCTAGGCATGTGTGCAAAGTTTTGAATTTTTCTGATAAATGGTTTCAGAGATGAAGTTGCTTCCAGAATATTGCACAATCCAATATAGCTGCCAAACCATGTGGTCAAATGACTTGTAATGAAAAGACGACTGTAGAGCTCATCATATCCTCACATTTGTATATCTGTAACTTATGACCTTTATGTTGTCAAAGATTAAACACAGCACTGTTCTCTACCATTGGGCCAAATGTCATGAGTTTTTACATAACAGTGTGGTTATAATTAGCATTTGAAAAATGGAGCATCAAAATAATAGGAATATTTGTAGAATTTTAGACAATTCAATATGGCTGCCGAACTATGAGGTCAATTGACTTGTAATGATCATTTCTTAGTGTAGATCACAGCATAACATTAATAAACAAAAATATTCGCGCTATAGGCTTTTCCACCCTTCAAAATTACAAAAATAGCGACAGCTGCAGTGAAAAACCAAGAAGTAAAAGAAAACGCCTGGGCAAACAATAGCAAAAAAAGTTACACCGCGCTATCTCCCCTTATCATTAAACCCTTTTTACTAAACCCTACAATTCCAAATAATTAATAGATGTTCAAATCAAACAAAAAATTGTATATCAAAGTGTCCA